GTGAACCCGGGAGGTGGAGCTTGCAGTGAGCCGAGATGGGGCCACTGCACTCCAGCCTGGGTGACAGAGTGAGACTGTTGTCTCAAAAAAAAAAAAAAAAAAAAGTGTCTTCTTCCTTTCTTCTGTAATTACCATTTTCTTTTCAGATGGGAAGGAACATCAACACTTTGACCTGAATATTAGCCGAGTGACTTTTCAAAAATTGCAGTCTTCAATCCAACCAGAGTGCTTTCCTTCCTTCGTGCAATTTAAAAAGATGTTAAAGAAACTTTGCCTTTTAAAAAAGTATTGATTAGGCTTCTGCAGTATGGTTTATTCAAAGCTAGGTCGCTTCAAATCTTAAACTTTGCTATTCCCATTTTAAAATCTTCTAATCATCTCCAATTTCATTTCCCATAAAATTGTTTATTTCTTTGCTGCACTTTCATCTGTGCTGGTGAATTCCCTCTTTTCATGATCCATTCTTGTGAAATGTTGCATGGGTGCACCACTGGGAGACAAGGAGGCAAGTCAACAACCCACTGGGTGCAACAACTCAACAACAACAACGTACATGAGCTGACAGGCATACCTTAGCCAGTCACTGACAGGCTTTGAAGAAGTGCTGTGATTGATCACTGATCATGATGTGCATCTATTATTATTTAGTGACTGTGGGTGGAAGAGCTAAAAGAGTTTGCATACTGCATAATCACTCATGGTTAACACGCCATGGTAACTGAAATTTGAACTGTATTGCTGGAAGGCTGGTGCTATCAACTACACTGTGTAGGTGACATCTGTAAATACTGGAACCATGCAGAGTGAGAACTGCCTGCACATCTCTTATTTTGACAAGGCCATTAACGGTAGTGTTTAAACTGTTCTTCTCCCTGCACACCCATTGTTTCCATCAGTTTACTTTTTTTCCATGTTTGCTTGTCTGTCTGTTTTTGCCTGTTTCTTTTTTGTTTGTTTTGTTCTCTGCTTTAATGTTAGAGATTTGTCTGATCTGCTTACATGTAAGAGAGGGGCACCAAAATACATGTGTAGAGCTGATGAATGTGACCTGAACTTCCGGGAGATCTAGCCCAGCCATGTCTTAGAGAGTACCCTATAGGGATGCCTTTAAGTCTTATATTTTGGGATGGTGGGATCCCTGAAGAGCGCTCTTCACATCTTTTTTCTGGAGCCTATTCACCTTGCTACCTGGCTCCCAGGAGTTGAGTGGTGAAGGCCCAGGGTTTTTATTTCTATTTCTCATTAACAGCAATATTTTTAGTTTGGTGCCTTTATTCCCAGCCATGCCAGTCCAGAGGCCCTCTGTTAGTTTCTTCAGAGAATAAGCCTTCTGTGTTCTGTAGGGAGAATGATGGGCAGTCAGGACACCTGCCGTTGTTAGCCCCATTTTCATCTCTGCCAATTCCAGAGCATATTGGGGCCGCTGACTTGGAAATGCTGCTGCTTCTTGACTCTCCCCATTGCTCGTTTGGGATCCAGCTCTCTCTGTCCAGCTACCACTCACCCATCTGCTTTCTTTTTCTAAATCGGGTTGCTGTTTTCTCCTATTTTCTTTGTCCTTGTGGGTTTATGGTTCTTAAAATAAAAACTTTATTGTCATTTGAGTGGGGCTTTGTGAGGGAGACAGGGTTAAATGTAAGTGATCAATTTACCATCTTCCATTTGATGCCTCTCATTTTGAAAAAACAAAACAAAACTGGGTGTGGTGGCTTATGCCGGTAATCCCAGCACTTTGGGAGGTCGAGGCACGTGGATCACCTGAGGTCAGGAGTTCAAGACCAGCCTGGCCAACACAGTGAAACTCCATCTCTACTAAAAATGCAAAAATTAGCCGGGTGTGGTGGCAGGTGCCTGTAATCCCAGCTGCTCGGGAGGCTGAGGCAGGAGAATTGCTTGAACCTGGGAAGCGGAGGAGGTAGTGCATGGAGGTCACACCACTGCACTCCAGCCTGGGCAGCAGAGCAAAACTCGGTCTCCAAACAAACAACAACAACAACAACAACAAAACAGAACGAACAAAACAAAACCCTAGTGGGGACTTTTCAATACCCTGTTCTAGGTCCTTGACCAAATTGAATCCAGTACATAGACAGGAGATGATGAAGGTGTACTTTTGTTCTTTTCTCGTTTCACTATTTTCATAGAGTAAAAGATTTGATTTTTCTTTCTGTTACTTGTCTTCTAGAGATGCTAAGGCAGGCTTTACCTTTTTGTCTGTCATTGGTCTTTACGTTTTTTATTATCAGAGCTATCTAAAATCAACCATAAATGTCATAAGAGCATTTTGTGTAAATGATTTATAACACTTTCTCGAGATGGCTTCAGTAGCCTTCTTCAAATACATCTTCTGGCATTTTTAATAAGCCTCTTAATAGATTCTGTCATCCCCATCTGTTTTGATTTAAGGTTGATTATTACAAACACGCCGCGCTGCAAAAAGCCACCTGATCACTTCAGCAGTGTGTTATGCATGCATTCAACTCCAGGTATTTTCAGGGAAGAATCATGAAGCCGCTCCTGTTAAATCATATCCCTTTTATTAGGTCTCTCCTGGTGGATTACGTAGAACTTTGGAAAATTAAACGTTAGACATGTTCATAGAAAATCATGTCACTGATTTTTAAAGCCAGCTCAATTTAACCTGCCACTGATTCCCTAATCAGCACTTCTCCGACTGTATCCCGAGGGAAAATATATTGAACGCAGCAGAAGGTTAAGGCGGAGGAGCTGGGCTAGATTGGGAAGCAGCCAATCAGATGGGGAGGGTCCAAAGATCTGATGCCTCCAGGCGAGCAGCGCCAAGCTGAGCTGGTTAGTCTCCTTTTATAGCGGATGAACACCACACACATGTTGTGAACGCTCCCTAGGCTGGCTGCAGCGACCAGGCAGACCCGGGAGCAGAGAATAGAGGAATACCTGCCCAAGCAACTCATTCTGCACGGCAGCCGACGAGACAGCGATTTTCCCGTGCTGGAATGTGCCCATCCAAAGGTATCACTTCCTTTTCATTGAGTTTCTATATTTCTTAAGAATTACGGAAAGCAGAGATTGCTGATTCTGGAGGAAGATCACTGCTTCCTAGTAATGCTTTGTTCCTGTTCTCAGGCTGAGTGCCAGCTTTAAAACGGTTAACCTCTAGGGGAGAAGCTACTAAGCAGAATAAAGCAACACTTTACATTGCTTAAGCTGACTGTGCACAGACAGACCTTTTATTAGGATGGGTTCTTTGTTACTCTTGCTGTTGTTCGGAAGGTAAGCTGGTTACAAATGCAGCTTTCAACCTTCACATTCTGCTACCTTTATAACTCGGGAGACCTGGGGGAAGCCCTGGGGTGGGGGTGGAGGGTCTAGTATCTCAAAGGTTGCTGCAATTTATCAGCCTCAGAGAGAAAAAGGGCCAAATTGCTGATCAAAGGTAGAGAAAGAACATTTGGTTGGTATGAGGATTCTTCTGTACTTAGGACACAAGTTTTACAAAAAATGAACACTGCATATTTTCACTGTGCTTAATAATTAAGATGCCTTAATTATCATTTATAACTGACAGCTGGTGTGCTCGTCCAAAAGTCATCAGCGTGTTAGGCGCTCTTGTTTCAGTTGCCAAGGTAATTGGAAGGATAATTTAATATGTTAGAGTAACAAAAGACCCATGAGAAACATATTGCATTAGGTGAGGCATGAGATTGCTTTGTGGAGCGTTTATTTCTGAGAGTGAGTTCCTTCTTTTGTCTCTTGGCCCCATCAGTTATCTGTTAGTAGGAATAGCTATACCAGAGACTTTCATCATGTGCCATACAGTTAAACTAACACAGTTGTTTATCTATACAGTAGGCAAGATTCAGTTTCTGTCTAAGACATTAAATTGTTAGTCATATGGAAAGATTTCCCCGGGAAGTTGTTCATTATCCTCTGTGGGACAAGTGACATCACACATCACTGGGTTATGAATGATGGCTTGAGTGAAGTGGAGAGAAAGTGTTTTCTCAGGGAGCAGAAGTGAATGCAAACAGTGCCCTGCTTCATTTTCTAGGGATCTCTAAGAAACATGGCCCATAGAGATGTTAAATGTCACTGCAAATTATCAGGGCGAATCTTTTATGGTATATTTGTGGAAGCTCTTATAAGTCATGCAGATGCTTTGTGTAGTTACTTTTTTTTAAAAGAAGGGACCTTTTACAGCATTGATTATAGTTTCTAAATTGCTAGGCTGGTGGTATTGGGTTTTTGTTTTTTTTTTTTTGAGATGGAGTTTTGCTCTTGTTGGTCAGGCTGGAGTGCAATGGCAAGGTCTCTGCTCACTGCCACTTATCTGGTTCAAGCGATTCTCCTGCCTCAGACTCCTGAGTAGCTGGGATTACAGGCGCCCACCTCCACATCCTGCTAATTTTTGTATTTTTTAGTAGAGATGGGGTTTCACCATGTTGGCCAGTTTTGTCTCGAACTCCTGACCTTGTGATCTGCCTGCCTTGGCCTCCCAAAGTGCTGGGATTACAGGTGTGAGCCACTGCGCCCGGCCTAGCGTTATCTCTCTTTAATAGCCAACATTTGAAAATAATGAGTGCGACACAATAAGAGATGCTTCATTTATTCGTTCATTATTCATTTGTTTACTAATTATGGTCTGGTGAGTGAAAACACACTTTGCCTCTGTGACATCACCGATTATGCTGGCATATGATACAATTTGTGATTTTGTTTCTCAAAATATTTGCAATGTACATAATTTTATTTGTAAAATATTATAAGCAAGTAAGATGAAAAGGTACATCTAATATTTAAAAAGCCATTTATTTACATGTAATATAACTCACTAACAAAATAATACAAAGTTAAAATTCAAACTTTTAAGATTTAAAAATCAACTGTAAGATAAAAATAAGATTTTTTAAAATGTATGTGAGATTATTGTCTTACTTATTTCTATGTTTAAAAGGCATTGCTTTTGAGAAGGTGAATTAACCCATGAATCAGATGGTCACAGGGAGTCTGTTAGCAACCTCGATGAATGGCAATGGGAAGGTAGAGTGGGTGTTATTCTGCAGAAGAGAGTACAGAAGGAGAATATCTTGGACTATAAGAAGTGTCCTTATACCTGAGATACATAAAATCTATTTCTAGTAAAGCAAGAATAAAAAGAACAGGCAGATTATAATCTTTAAAAATAAAGTTAGCATCAATAACACATTTGAGGACAGCAAGAGACGAGTTAACTTAGGGAATGGATTAAAGCCAAAGAAAGGCCGTCTCCCTCGAGGATGTCCTCCAGGCATGAGATAATGGACCAAGGCTGGCCTTGGACACGCACAGACCTGGCAGAAAGCCCAGCTCTGCGCCTACTCCCTGCCCACACCGGGTAGATGGGCCCTACTTGGGCGGCTTATGTGAGTTGTAAGAAATCCACATAATTATAAGCAGTTCACATAAATACAAGAAGGGTGTAATTATAAAGGTGTGATAAAATCGATTCCCACCTCACTGGGGATGATGGAGTTGACATGATTACTCCTGAGAAGAGGGCCTGGCTACAGAGGCGGCAACAGAAAGGCCCTTATTAGTGTCTTTGTCTCTGTCCTCACTCTCTCCAGTCTCTTTCATCTCTCAGCTGACGTTGAGACTTCTACCTTTTCAGAGTATTGCCTTGGATTTAATGCTTTGAAGCCTATACAAATGCAAACAGCCTGGGGAAGTACACTTTAACACGTGATCCCACCTTGGCGTCCTGGTGGGATGTGAGCATGGAGGCTGGTGGGAAATGCTCAGTAGAAGAGAGATTTTTCAAAAGGAAGGATGGGAATACTGGACCAAAATGATGCCAGTGAGAGAGGAAGGGCTGATTGGAGTCTGGGAAACATATATATATATATGTTTGGAGTGCAATGGCGTGATCTCGGCTCGCTACAACCTCCGCCACCTGGGTTGAAAGGATTCTCCTGCATCAGCCTCCCGAGTAGCTGGGATTCAGGTGTGTGCCACTGCACCTGGCTGATTTTTGTGTTTTTAGTACAGACAGGGTTTCACTATGTTGGCCAGGCTGGTCTTGAACTCCTGACCTCAGGTGATCCACCCGCCTCGGCCTCCAAGAGTGCTGGGATTACAGGCGTGAGCCACTGCGCCCGGCCTGGGAAACACTTGAAGAGACCAATGTAACTTAATAAATGCCCACGGGGAGACCAGGCTGACTAGGAACCTACAGGTGGACCGTGGGCCAAAATGAAGTTTGAAGTTCAGGCTGCAACCTTAATGGGAACGTGACACACACACATTTTCTTTTTCTTGGCCACCTGTGAGGATGTTTGCTATGAGTGGTGACTCATGCTGTTGGTAGGAAGAATTTGTTTATTGGTTTGAAGGGGAATAAATGAGAGGAAAAAGAAATCAAATGTAAGGGACAGAACAACATTTTTTATTTTTTGCCAGGAGAAGGCAGAATGTGAGGAGATAATGTGAGGAATGGCTTGCTTCAAAATTCATGCTGTCTGCATACATGCCGGACTTTGATCTCAACACAGAATGATACAGCCCCTGAGCAGGAATAATTTTCAAATTTGTGCAACCCTCCAGACTCTCCCTATTCAAGAGAACTGCACTGCATGCCTTGATTTTCTCAGACTTGAAATGAATCCCATATACTCCCACCTTTAGGGCTTAGAAGTGATTAAATCTAGAGAGGGTTGCATGCTACTTGAGGACCAAATACTCAGGGCACTGCCCAGGCTTGGGCAATGGGAGGGCCCCAATGTTCTCAGGTGACCTCTACCCACTAGCCCAGGCCTCAGTACCACCTTTAATCCCACTGAAATGCAAACACCTGGGGATGAAGTGACACTATAAAAAGCTATTTTGCTGGACTTGGTGGCTCACACCTATAATCCTAGCACTTTGGGAGGCCGAGGCTGGTTTATCACTTGAGGTCAAGAGTTTGAGACCAGCCTGGCCAACACGTTGAAACCCTGTCTCTACTAAAAACACAACAAAAATTAGCCAGAAGTGGTGGCATGTGCCTGTAATCCCAGCTACTCGGGAGTCTGAGGCAGGAGGATGGTGTCAACCTGGGAGGTGGAGGTTGCGGTGAGCTGAGATCTTGCCATTGCACTCCAGCCTGGCGACAGAGTGAGACTCTATCAAAAAAAAAAAAAAAAAAAAAGAAGCTATTTTAATCTTCTACCACTTTTGATATTCTGTCATCTTTTTATAATTTTGGGGATGTTTGTTTCCTTTACCAGATTGGAATTCTTCCAAATAAAGAATAGAGTTGGTCTTCTAATTTATGATTGCCTAGCTAGCAAAATGCCTGTCACATAGAAAATATTGCATAAGTATTTGTTTAACTCACTAACACGATTTATTTCCCAAGAAGCTCACTGATACATGCACATTGAGCTACCAAGCTGCCTAAGTTACACAAAGGGAAAAGTGGCCAAATTAATAGTCTCAATTTGACTTCACAATACAATCTGCAAATTAGGAAAATTTACCTTTGTTCAGCATCTCTCAGCAAACTTAGGTCAGTGGATCCTGGCACCTTATGGTACTGCTGATACCAGGGAATTGTGTTTATGCCCAAGCAAGTCTGACAAGTCCACACTGATAAAATAACAGGTTACTCTCATTCATTAGTGTAGGAGCCAAATCCAGAACGTGCAATGGCAGGGAGGGTTGTTGAGAACAGGTGCAAAGGACACCCGAAGTGTCTGCCACCTACTGGGAAGTGGGGGTTGGTTTCTAAGAGGGATGAAGGGCAGAGATGACAGGACAGCAGTGCCAGGGCAGTGAGCTGGGCCAGAGGAAGGACCTCTATGATGAGGCAGGGTGATGGATCCCACGCTAGTCTTCAGAGAACACGGCCATTTGTCAGACATGGGAGGCTAGTCCTGTTTTACCCTCCACAATTTCTTAAACTCCTCTCACGTCTTTTCAAAATGCTTGTATGATCTGAGAAAGGAAGCCAAGTGCATGTTTTCCCTGATGTGCCCGAAGTGGTAGCGTGATGG